GATCGCATGAGTGCCGGCCCGGATCGGGCACCGCACGCAAGCTGCGTGCGGTGACCGATCCGTATGGAATAATTTTTCCTTCAGTAGTCGTCTTTCCCTGCCTTCAAGCATAAATTTTCACAATATCCAATTATTAAATTTATTTTTATGAGTATAATAGATAAATAATCAATCGAAATTTATATTACTCATTTTAAAATTTAAAAAAAAAATCAAATAATTTTGAGTTCCATAAAATAAATAGATTTTGTCAAAATAACTTTAGCCAGTACTTTCATTGGATCCATTTCTTTTGCCAAGGCGTTTAAAACAAATGGTATGAAGTTGTTGAAGTTCTGATATGTAATAGGAGGAAGATTAGATTTTGATGCCTTTGCTGCTTAAAGTCTTAACATTCGGCAGTTGTTCGGCATCACAACTGTTAAATCTTGTTGAATTATTTGGCTTTTCTTTTTTTTCAGAAGTTCGGCTAATTTGAACTTGGCTCATCTACAGGCTGACAGGCTCAAAGTCAAGCTCGGTTCATCAAAATTATCACAAGCTTTTTTTTTATTAATGTGCTCAATCCAAAATTTTGAATCCCTTTTGGGATGAAAGCTTGGGAATTGATCAATTAACAATCAAAACCACATAGTTGAAAACACACTGATTCGAGAGATCCGAAATAAAATTCAAACAAAAGTATTAAAAAAAAAAAAAAAAAAAACACACTAAGATTTAACTTGGAAAAGCCAAGAACAAAAAAAAAAAAAAAATCACGGAGTCTCACCGCACCAAAATTTCTCCATGAAAATCAAGAGAAATGTATTGATTGTATATCACCGAGTTCAATTTTCTACCCTTGGAACTTACAACAACTTCAGGATGCTCCTCCTCTCGCTCAATCACAAGAGAACCCGACGAAATCCTCGTTAAAGGTACTAACGCACCATGATTGATCAAATAAATAAAACATTTCACTAATTCTGCCAATAATTACCATGGCAAGCTAGCATGCAACCTCATACCTTTGACATGCATTGTGATGATTTTATTCATGCGCTCAGCCATATTATTCTGCTAATTTGTTCTTAGAACAATGAACTCATGCTTGGTCGATTAGGCATCACAATACTTCCCCCTATTAATTGATCTGAGACACTTTAGCCTCAAACCTTTCTTATTAAATACCATGGTCTTTCACATCTTAAGCACTTCAAATACATCATATTTATGCTTTAAGAAGGAAAATTATACCTTTCTGGCGTTTTCATCAATAGAAGTGAGAATATAACGTGTTAGAAACGGTGGAGCCCGGTTCACTATACTTGGGCGGTTACTTTGCTTTAAAGAGTCACACCTCTTCACAAATAACCATTTCTGCCTTTCTCTTTTGTAAAGTGAAACATTTCTCATTCCCTCTTATTCGTGATAAAAGCTTCAGATGGCTCTCCTTGGGTTCAGTAGTCACATATTGAGTTCTTCTTCAGTTTCCTCGGGATAGAGGAAGGTTTCAGCGGGGCTGAAGAAGAGAAGTGCAAGGAGGAGCAGTTTCTTGCGGCAGAAGGAAGAAGAAGATTGTTCTCCCTAGGCTTCTTCTTGGTGGCTTATGGCAGAAGAGAAATTGAGTTTATTTCTCTCGTAAGTTTGTCTTCTTCAGTGTATCTCGGTATAGAGAGAGAAGAACAGAGAGAAAAGAGAGAGAGAGAGCAACAAAGAGTGAGAGATTTCTCTTGTAAGCCGAGGTGATCGATTGGTGTAAATTTCATAAGTAGTAAAATCCTATGCAACTCGGTGGACGTAGAAAATTTGTCGAACCACGTAAATCTGTCTGTTCCGCTGTGTGTTTTTTTAGGTGTGATTTTTCTCGTTTTATTTTCACTTCATCGATCGTTCTCCTGTTTGATTTATATATATACTACATCAACTGGTATATCTAGATCTCGCAACAATCACAACTGGTATCAGAGAGTTGTTTCAGATCTGAGGAAGAATGATGATTGCAGATGAAGTGATGGTTTCAAAGATCAAGAAGTTTGATGGCACATATTTTAGTTATTGGAGAATGCAGATAGAGAATTATCTCTATGGGAAGAAACTTCATCTTACGTTATTGGGGAAAAGACTTGAAAGGATGGATGAGGCTGAATGAATTTTTTTGGATCGACAAGTTCTAGGGGTTATTCAATTGACCCTATTGAGGTCCGTTGCACACATCGTCGTCAAGGAAAGAACAACCGCAGATCTCATGGCAGTCTTATCAGGTAAGTATGAAAAGCCATCGGCGAATAACAAGGTACATCTGATGAAGAAATTATTAAATTAGAAGATGGCGGAAGGTGTTTCTGTTGCTCAACACCTGAATGCTTGAAATACTATCACAAATCAATTGTCGTCTGTGGAAATTGATTTTAATGATGAGATATGTGCACTGATCTTGTTGGCTTCATTGTCAGTTAGTTGAGAAGCCACGAGGATAACAGTTAGCAGTTCTGTAGGTAAATCTAAACTGAAATATGGTGATATTCGTGATTTGATTTTAGCTGGGGAAGTTAGCAGGAAAAATTCTGGCAAAGTCTCAGGTTCGAGTTCTGCACTGAATTTTGATTTCAGAGGGAGATTTCATGACAAGAACTCAAGTATAGGGAGATCAAAATCAAAGTTTAGTAAGTATGAAACATGTTGGAATTGTGCCAAGGTTGGCCACTTAAAAAAACTGCTGGAATCCTAAGAAGATGGAGAATGATAGCGCAAATGTGGTATCTGAAGAATCATATGATGCACTATTGTTGGCAGTTCATAGTTATGTTGAAGACTTCATATTGGATTCAGGGGCTTTGAATGTGGTAGATAATCTACCAGAGGCCACAGTGCAGGGCAGTGATGGAAGTGAAGAGGAAAGTGGGTCCGGGGCACTCATTCCTATTGTTCCACAGATAGATGTTGAAGAACCACAGAGCTATGAAGAAATCTTGCAAGATGAAAAATCGAGCGAGTGGGAGCTAACATAACTTCCACCAGGGAAGAAGGCATCACACAATAAGTGGGTGTACCAGGTGAAGACTGAGCATGATGTCAGTAAGAAGTACAAGGCTAAAATTATTGAAAAAGACTTTCAGCAGAGGCAGGATGTTGCCCATGCAGTGAGAGTTGTAAGAAGAGACAAGAGTAACTCATGAAATAACTTGGAGGTGCAAAGCTATGTGAAGCTTGCTGATATGTTAATTGAGGGTGTTACTCTTGAGAAACTCAAGTTGTGCACAACTTTAGTTTGTGTTCTGGAGTAATGAAAAAGGCTTTGAGTTGCAGAGGTGAAGGGTTCAAGTTGGAGAATTCAAGGTGGAGGATACATGTTGAAGAAAAAGGTGACACCACCCGTGGAGGATGTCAGTTTGAGGAAGAAGATGTTGCAGCCTGTGTACTTATCTCCAAGTGAGAGAATTGTTAGAAACGGTGGAGCCCAGTCCACTATGCTTGGGCGGTTATTTTGCTTTTGAGAGTCGCACCTCTTCACAAATAACCACTCCCGCCTTCCTCTTTTGTGAAGTGAAGCATCTCTTCGCTCCCTCTTGTTCGTGATAAAAGCTTCAGATGGATCTCCTTAGGTTTAGTAGTCACGATTTGAGTGCTTCTTTGGTTTCCTCGGGATAGAGGAAGGTTTCCTCAAGGCAGCGGAAGAGAAGTGCAAGGAGGAGCAGTTCCTTGCGGTAGAAGGAAGAAGAAGAAGATTGTTATCCTTAGGCTTCTTCTTGGTGGCTTGTGGCAGAAAAGAAATTGGGTTTATTTCTCTTGTAAGTTTGTTTTCTTCAGTGTATCTCGGTCTAGAGAGAGAAGAACATAGAGAAAAGAAGAGAGAGAGCAACGAAGAGTGAGAGATTCCTTATGTAAGTCGAGGTAATTGATTTGTGTAAATTCTTTAAGTAGTAAAATCCTCTACAACTCTGTGGATGTAGGCAATTTGCCGAACCATGTAAATCTGTGTTCTTTTCTTGTGTGATTTTTCTCGTTCTATTTTTCACTTTGTCGATCATTCTCTTGTTTAATTTATATATATATACCACATTAACTGGTATATCTAGATCTCGCAACAACAACATAATGAGTCTCTAATGGAGTGAATTAGAGTAGGATCTCATATGTAAGTATGCACTAACTCTGATTTCTTTAACTTCACCATTGACCAAAGTTTGGAGAAAGAAACTTTATTCCACTTGTCATTACACAATCTTCACAGAACTCTAAATTCACATATTTTATGCCCTAAAGCTCGTTCTATTGAAGTAGGGACATTATACATTTCTCGCTCATATAATTAAACCTGCGATGCCAGAACTTACATCAACCTTAGTTCTTACCACATCAATTGATTCTACCATCTCATTGCTTAGGAAAAAATTGCCTTCAATATTGTCCTGATCCATCATTATTTTCCCCTCAGATCACCTTCCATGAACCACCTATGAAAATAGTCACGTACCCTGACTTTGCTAGTTGGCTCATCGAGATCAAATTTCTCTTCATACTTTAAGCAAGTTTAACTTCACCGAGCTTCCAGACTATTTCATTAAGTAACTTGAGATCAACATCACATTCTTTTGTGATACTATAAGTTTTATTATCTCTCAAGTAAATCTTGCCTAAATCACATTTTTATTTGGAGGAAAAGAGATAATTGAATCTACTATTCAAGATTCAGTAATGACAAAGGATAAAACCAACGAGTGACCTTGAATTTCTCTTGTGAAGTATATCAGGTCTCAAGCGATAGTGTATTATATGAGATGCAATACGATCTCTGGCTTGTGACTCGGTAAACTTAACTCTTAAACTTGTAAATGAGCCGAGTTTGAGCTAGCTTGGCTCAATATAACAAGAAAAATTGAAATTTTTTGGCAGAACTATTTAACAAATTTTAAAAAGCATGTGAAAAAAAATAGAAGGTGAGCATCACGATGGAGCAAGATAAAACCCTGCTTCAATCATTCGGTTGCATTCTCTTTGAGAAGAGAATTACTCATCTTCCATATAGCATATTTAATTTTCAAGAGCTGACATAAAATTTGTCAAATCCATGAGGCCAAAAGGAAGACCGCGTAAATGGCGCTGTGAAAGTAGTGAAATGGCGTCGAGTCAAGGAGCGCTTCCCCCTCTTTCCCCTGACTTCTCTTTTAAATAAGCCCTCAGCTTCGTCTTCACCATCTCTCTCTCTCTCTATCAGTTGATTGAGAATGGGGAGAGCTCCTTGCTGCGACAAAGCCAACGTGAAGAGAGGTCCATGGTCTCCAGAGGAGGACACAGCCCTAAGAAGCTACATCCATGATCATGGCTTCGGAGGCAACTGGATTGCTCTGCCACAAAAAGCTGGTAACTTTTTTTTTCCTTTTCCCTCCTCCTTTTGGTTCCAGGGCTAACCAATGGAACAAAAAGTTATTTTTTCTGCACTTCTTCTGTTTGATTCAATTCCTGTGAGGTAGTGCTTGACTTTATCGGTTCTCATTAAGGCCTAAAGCGTTGTGGAAAGAGCTGTCGCCTGAGATGGCTTAATTATCTTAGACCAGACATCAAGCATGGAAGCTTCACCAAGGAAGAAGACGACATGATTTTCTCTCTATACAACAAGATAGGAAGCAGGTATATACTTCAACCAGATGTTTTGCAGCTTCTCTTAACAATAAATGTAAGCTCATGCTTTCATCATTTGCCACACAAACAAAAACAATGATGAGCTATTGTGATTTTCTGTCTTTTCTGAACATTAAATCAGGTGGTCTGTGATTGCTTCAAAGCTTCCTGGTAGAACAGACAATGATGTGAAAAATCACTGGAACACCAAGTTGAAGAAGAGGGGGATGGAAGGAAAAGGAAGTCTTTCTGAAAGTTATTATAGAACTTCAACTCCATTGCTTCCATCACAGCCCCTCATTCCAAGTCCTTATGTTTCATCTTCTACAAGTTGTGTTTTAACTCCAGCTACGGTTTATCAAGAATTTCTGAGCTCTGATGAGAGCTTGGATGCATCTCTGCAACAAGAAGATCACAGAGGTGGATCTGAATATGGATTTTTGTGGGAATTAGACTTCGGATCCATTGCTGATCTTCTCAGTAGTTCTGGTTCTGATGGCACACTTTCTTCCATTTGGACCAATGATTCTGGTGAGGGTAAGCTTGGGGAGCTGCCTCAAAGCGTCTCCTACTTCTGACAGCAAAAGTATTTAGCTGCTGAATTTGATGTCAATGCAATTTTTAGATTTATACCTGTAAATCAACATTGAAATGAGTATTTTTAAATTTTAACTCCGTTTGTGTTGATGCTTATTCTTGCTATAATAAAATCGTTGGCCCTGAATGTCCTCATCGAATTATATATCAGAATGCAAAGTATTTTGATGTAACTTGCAAGACATTTCTCTTTTGTTTGGCATCTTCTGTTTTGCATGACAACAAGCAAAAGGTATTTTTACATATTTTTATCATGATATGTGGTAGCTGGTCTCATTCAGTTTTTAGTTTTGCAAGATACAAACCATGAAATAGAAATTTACATAGAAACTACATAATTCTTGTGAATTTACATACCGAACATCTAAAGTTTGATTTTTGCACTTGTTGTCATAAACTCATGCATGAGAAGATGTATTTCACTTTCAAAAAGTTTTGGCCGTGTGTCTAAATATGAAAATTTAGGTATCGGATATGTAAATTACGCGGCATAAATGTAAAAAATATGTTTTTTATTCTTCTACTTTTGGGATAATATTTCTTGCCTTGCAAAACAAGAAGAATTGTCTTCCATCAAACGAAAAAATGTATATTATCAGAAAGTGTGCAGAAGCTATCTTATGAAGACTTTTCTCATAATCTCCCTGCCCTATTCAAAACACACATGTAGAAAATGAAAGTGTGTGACACAGTTTATAATAAATATAAAAAATTATAATTTTTAATTTATTTAATATTATTTAATGCCTGTTTTTTTGTTATAATTCCTTGCACTGTGAAGAATAATGGCTGCATTGCTAATTCTTTTATAGGGCCTTTGAGTTTGATGGATATTATTATTGATCAAGTCAGACAATTAGTTTTTGGTGGTTTTTTGTTTCTTTGTTTTTTTAGTTTACTTGTCTTTTTTCTCACCCTCATTTGTTTTATTTATTTGAATAGAATCCAAAGTCTAGAAGTACAGATGTGCAAGCATGTCCTCCTTTCATTCTGCAGTACAGGCAGTATAATATTCAGGCAAAGGACATATTTGGCATTGTATGCTTTTAAATCAAATGGTTCTAATTGGGAAGTTTTGCTTAGCTTTAATTTGTTATGTCTAAAAATTTAGACATCATGTATTTTCTCATAGGGTTAACTTTATCTCGAGGTTTAACCCATTTCAATGTTTGATAACCCGACGATATTTTACCGCAGGTTAGCGAGGTGGTCGATGATATTATGATAATTCGACAGAAATCATCGAAAATATTGAATATAGCATATTAACCACCCAAATTTTAAATATAATATTTTAATCACGTCTTTTATTATGGCCACGATTATTTAGCCACTAATGAAGGCTTGGAGAAGACTGAGTGAAAATTTTGAGGTTTAATATGTTATATTTAATATTTTGGGCGATTTATATGTAAAAGCATTTAAAAAATAATAATTGCTTAAATATTTATGATTGTGAGTAATGTGGCCATGAGAAAAGCATGAACTGTCTGACACTTCATGTCCTTATCAATGATGTATGATTGATGATTTTGAAGGAAGAAAATACACTATTTTAATCAAAAAGTGGCGTTTTGAGCTGAGGTTATGCCAGCACGTTTAGAGATGCATTGCACTAGTATATTAAAGAAAAATCTAAAAGGTTAGATAAATAATATATATATATATATATATATATATATATATATGAGTTTATATGAGTGTATGTGAATTTGTAATTAAATTTATTCAAATTTTAAAAAAAGAAATCTCGAAGAAAATGTTGTAATATTTGTTTTTATCAAATTCATAATGGTTTGATCGTGGCATGTGCAAATGTATCAGTTCTATAGTTCAAAAAATTGCATGTGTTAGTTTTATAAATAATAACTTTTCAAATGACGTGCATGTAATCATTCCTCGAAATAAAAGTAAACTTTAAACTTGTTGAGAAGAAGAAAAAATGAAGAGGAATAAGATCACACGAGAAAGTTTAAGGAGTATGAAGTGAATCCATTGTAGCCAAAAATCAATCATGATTGTAATAAAATTATACAACATGATTAAAGTCATGAAGCCCCCAACATCATGAAGATAAGATAACGCCAGGAAAAAAAATCATAGAGCTAAAGCCCTCACACCATAGTCCAAAATATTCAATGCTTTAGACAATGGCCTCATTAACAAATACAATAAATCAAAATAGAACCATAATATGACAAAGATTTCAACAACAAAATTATGACTTTCCCAATCCAATGATTTTTTTTTTTTTGCCTCATTATTCCAAAATTTTGACATTTAACTTAAAATTTTGTCTTATCATTCATTTTATGTATGTTTTAATATAATAGGACTGATCACAACATAAGTAAAATCATATTATTTTCTCTTTGCAAATATTGCAAATTTAAACACCTATTGCCATCAAATAAAATCATGCCATTGTTATGATAATTTTTTATTACGTGGAAGAGCTTGAGAGATAGTAGCTTTAAGATAAAAGAAGGATCCTTTGATGGGGTGCTTTGAATGTGTCACATAAAGAAAGAGCATTTGAAAAAAAATAGGGGCTAATAATAATTATCATCAAGAGAGCATCAATCACAACAAATAGAGAGGTTTCAACCCCTACTTATAAGATTATAAAACATTTTGAAGCAAATATGATAAACCTTTTACATATAAATTGATTATTGAATAGAGTGTATTTTTTTAACTAAACATATTTTTACCAATCGATCTAGAGTTATGAACACCCATAGATGCACTAAGCGATTATTTATGAGTGTGAGAATTAGGAGTTAGTCTCTTATCATATATATGTTAAAATAAAATAGTGATTGGACTTCACCAATAAACATTTTTTTAAATTGAAAAACAATTTGATCATTGGTGTATGTAGCCTTACCTTGATTCCTTTTTGCTTGATGCTTACTAACAAACAATGTCGAGCTAAGAGAGCCACGACCTTACTAATGAATGCCTCACATGCCTAGTGAGTGGAGTTGGACTGCATTAGTGTAAATACAAGAATAATTTAATTATGAAAATACATTGGGAGAGTCTAAATTAGAGCTATGAATAGAAGAAAGCCTAACTAAGGTGAATATTATATGAATGAGATTAGACTTGGTCATATTACAAGTTCATCAAGCTCAACAAAACTTGGTCCAAGACTTCACATATATTCTCTTATTTAGCATTTTCTAGAACTACCTATGGTTGAGTTTGAATTTTCTTATCTTTCTTAAATTAATTGAACGAGTCCATAAATGATTAAATAAACAAGTTGATAAACAAATTAGTGCCAACCATGAGGTTAAAATTAACAAATAATTAAGCATATTTAAATGAACAAGCTATTCAATAAATTTGGAATCATTAACCATCTCTTCAACCCCAATTAAGTAAAATAATAAAAAGCCTCAAATAAGCTTTCTTGTTATCATTAAACTTAGTCAAGTTCAAAACAAACTTATTCATTCTATTAAATTAATGCATACACAATTTAGAATTGCACATTAACAAGGAAAAAATATTCAGCTTAAATCATATCTTAACAATTCCAAGTTATTTTTGATATTTTTTCATATGAGAATAAAAATGAATTGTTAACTAACAAGCCCTAATGATAATTGTGTCAAATGCTATAATTATAGCCAAAATATTGAGCAGATCAGTGCCTCAATAATGTGATTGAAAATACTACACAAACAAATTGTGATTGACTAATGTTGCATTGGAGAAAAATTTAGATTGCCAACAAAAGGAGAAGAAAGGCTCACATTTAATTTTCACACTTGTGCGCTTTGATTCTTATGAAGTTTTGTTGCATTGATAAATAAGACGAAACAATCATCAGTCATGCTAGCTAATGTGTCAACAATAAGTGGGTTGAGAAGCAAAAAATATGATTTTTAGCATAATATCAATAATGTGCTCACACAACTCAACAATTATGACTTCGAGCGACAGGAGTGCGGTTATTGAGAGAGATCGAAATATAAAATGACATGTGAAAAACAAAATTAAAAGAAAGAAAAAGTAACCTAGCGTGAAAAACAAATGTATAATGTATTAATATTAATCAAGTAATTAAACAAGTTGTATTAAAAATAATTAATTGTGCACTATACATGCCAACATTTAGCATAATAAAGACATTTACACAAGTCATTTTTATTTTGGAAAACAAATAAATTATTCATGAACATAAATAAAAAGTTAAGTTATATCTTGGTTTGTTTTATTTAACCTTCTACTTGCAAAAAGCATTCAATTTTGTTCAATTACTAACTCGAATGAGGATCAATCCACTAAGTTCGAGCAATTCATCGAATGCATTAGTTCATGGTCAAAGACCAGCTTGATTTACCCTTGCATGAAATTAAGTCACAAGAAATGTAAATTGAAAGCGAAAACAAATACGTTAACTGATAGCAAAAATAACTGAAGAATTTTCCAGTCAATATAAAGTTGAAACATTAAAAAAGAGTTTACCAAACAATAAGTAAGCTTAAATTCAAAGCTTATTCCCAATACATTTAGCTCCAATCAATAAATTTAATAATTTATGCATTAAATAAATATCTAAAAAAATAATTAATAGCAGACAAATTGATGCTATTTAATGCTCTTATCAGATATAGGTTATGACTCTAAAGGCTCTTCATGTTGAGCATTCTACAAGCTTGAAAATACTGATAGGGAAGCCAGCTCATGGTGTTGAATGAGATGGATGATAAATAGAAAAATCACATAAGACTTCAAATTTCTATAGAAGATTATATAATAAATGCTTTCTTGGCAGCCAATCCTTGATAAAATATATTCGGTTTTCATGAAGCTTGACTTTAAATGCTTTCTACTTCCAAGAAGTTTCCCATCTCTTACAAATTAATCAGAAATTATTGCGAGTTATATGACTTCTTAGGATGATTTTCAGTCATGTAAGTGTAGTTGACATTTAGGTTCATGTTTGGATAATAGGTTTTAAAGTAGGTATCAATAAATATTAATTTGATCGGGGCCTAACTCTAAAAGTTTGGGTTTGGGTTAGATGATTAATGTTCAGGTCAGCTTTTGATATAAATTGAATGCTTCATTATTATTTGGGTTAAGTTTGAGTTTACTCGAATGATACAAA